ATTCAATCTTTGAACATTCGACCTACTTCATTGCTAATGGCTTTATCTTTACGTTTTTCTTATTCTCAAGAAGATTCTACCGAAGGACACTTCAGGGTGAGATATGAAGTTACAGAAATGCCCGTTACTTTGCCATTCCAGAAACCCCTTGTAGACAAACCAAACCCCAAGCAAGGCATTGGTAAGTCCTCTGTCCCTACCAAAAGAGAATACATGCTGCTTCATTTTCTGCCTTTTCAATAGTTATAATGTGTTTCTGGGCTGTATGAGGTTGTGTGAAATATGGTACGAGAGTAAAACCTCAGGTAGTATTTTGTTTTTGTTGCATACTTGGTCCGTGAAGCATATAGTGAAACATAAATATTTAGTTGCAGAAATACTACTAAAGATAGACCTATCAAAGTCAAGTGGCTATCATGAACAGCTTTGTAGTCCTAAATCCATGTTCCATTCAAAACCAAATATTTCTATTTCCTGCTCCATTCAGTGAAAAGAAAATGTGCATGTAAAATTGTTTCTTCGTAATTAAGGTATCGCGTATAGTTTAATATATGAAGCATAAATATGCATTGGTGTGTGCGGCAGACTGTTAAATTCTGTATGGGACTATCAGTTCGTTGTTAACAATAAAGTATATGTTATTAGCTGTGAGATTTCACATCGTTTGGAGAGGGGAACAAAGCATTCTTATTCTTTATAAGGGTGTGGAAACCTTTTCCTAGCAGATGCCTTTTAAAAACTTTGAGGGGAAGCCCGCAAGGGAAAGCTCAAAGAGGACAATATCTACGAGTGGTAGGCTTGAGTCGTTACATTAGCATTCCTCCGGAAGTAGGATTTTGAGCATCCTCTCTATCAGCCTGTCTCCCAAATATGGTTTTGATGATAGTTTATATTACAGGTCTCATGCTATGGAGCAAGGATAGCCAATACATCTGTACACGCAATGATAGCATGCCAACTGCACTTTGGATTTGGGACATTCACCATCTAGAACTGGCAGCCATCTTGGTGCAGAAAGATCCAATCCGAGCAGCAGCTTGGGACCCGACATGCACACGTCTTAGTCTCTGTACCGGTAGCCCACATTTGTACATGTGGACTCCCGCAGGCGCTTACTGTGTCAATATCCCTCTATCGGAGTTCGCCATAACCGACCTGAAATGGAATTCAGATGGTAGCTGTCTTCTTCTGAAGGACAAAGAGTCGTTCTGTTGTGCTGCTGTGCCTGTTCTACCAGAATCCAGTGATTATAGTTCAGATGAGTAACGGTGTTTCCTTCTGAAATGGTACTAAATAGAGGCCTATATCACAATTTGGAAGATGTAATTAGTATGAAGATGAACCTCCCATTTGTTGTAACTGAGACACAATTTTAGCTTAGGCTTTGTAGTATTAAGAGAAGATCAGGTGGGGTATCAAAAGCAATGTTGTATCTGTAGACGTCCAGAATCTCTACTTTTTTTGCATTGATGAAATGTTTGATAGGATTTTTTTTTTTAAAATATTTTAAAAATAGTCCTTTTTCTGTTTATTTTATTTTATTTTATTTTTTTACATATTTGAATTGATCTACATGTCATATATTGCAAAATTTATATACAAAAACGGATGGAAACTCGATATAACAAAGTAATTAATGTATACTTAATTTCTTTTTTCTTTTGTTTTCCTTTCGACCCACCCGATGAATACTTCCAATACCTCACACCATATTGAGTGAGAATCTGACCTATTCTTTCTTAGTGCAATACCTGAAATTGACTTAAGATTAAAGGAAATTCTTGGATTTGAGGGTATTTGTTTTCATCTCCTTCAATTTACCGTCGTCTCGCGTCTCTTCTTCCGGCCGTTACTCGGCGGCGGATCGGAATTTCCGGCATCCAAGGGAAAATTCAACTTAGCCTTTCTTCCCCTTAATTTAAATGCAGCGGAATCATAAGCCCTAGCCGCATCCACATCCGAATCGAAAGTCCCCAACCAAACTCTACTCCCTTTCCTACTCGGATCTCGGATCTCCGCCGCGAACTTCCCCCACGGCCGCCGCCGAACTCCTCTGTAACGCCTCCCGCCATCGGAACTTAAGCCCGCCTCGGGCGAGCTCGACCGCGTCGATTGTGGTTCCTGGTGGCTTCTCAGATTTTGAATCGGAGACTCTTCCTCTTCCGACGGTTTCATGTACTCGAAATCTTCGAATTCGAATTTGATCGGCGGGAGCGAGAACAACGCCGGCGGTGGTGAGTGGAATTCGAATTCTAGGAGATTGAAGAAGGAATCGGAGTCTTGAAGTAGTTCCATTTTTGTGAGCTTCAAATTTGGGGATGAGATAGGATAGTATTTATAGCGACGAATCAGTAGAATTATATTCTTTATCCTCGTCTCGATCTCGAGTTAATATTTTTAAAAATCTATTCTCATCTCGATCTAAGCTAAAATTCTTTTAAATGAATTTTATATAAATTTATGATCGAAAGTGATGCAACAAGATAGAACCTCAATAGACGTTTTACTCGTGTTCGTGACTATCGAGTAAGTGATATTGCATCGTGAGCTTGCTCGTGAATAGAATGATTGAGAAAGTAGAGAGATTAATAGAATTATAAAACAGAATTGGAAAAAAATAAAAATTATACGTTATTTTTCTTATAATTATACTAATCTAATCGAGCCGAGCACAGGTTTTTCTTACGACTATGTCTTCGAAATCATTTTCGCCTTACTCGACCCGAGACTCTCGAACATAACTCTCCCTTTTTCTCGCTATATCGCTATACATATAGGATCGCGTGATCTCGACCAAAAAAATAAAAAAAATAGAAGGTTGTCCCAAACAAACGTGGGGGCTCACATGAATTAATAGCATTCCCATCCCAAGTTGCTCTTATTTAATATCATTTACAAAGCAACCGCACACGTCTTTCACTCCAAAACAAACCTCAACCTTATCTCTTCCTCTTACCATCTCCATCACCAAGTTGACTTCTTTCTCCTTCTTAATTAACCAAATTAGCGGTATACACTGATCTAATCCGAGAAATTTTTTAGACCCATCTTAAATTTCGGGTTGGTTCGCTTGGTGACTCGAGCAAATTAAATAGATTTCACAACCCAACCATCAAGTTCGGTTATAACAACTCAAAACTACTACTAACAAATATTGTCTGTCTTGACCCATTACCTAGAGTTTTAAAACGCGTTAATGAGAGGTTTTCACACTCTTATAAGAAATGTTTCGTTCCCCTGATTTCATATGGGTTGTCGGGTTGTTTTTTTTATTTTATATATATAATTATTTCACTAACATCAGTTTCAAATGTCAAATGTTCTTAATTTCCATAATAATCTTAAAATTAAGGTTGAGTTGTAACCCTATTTTTAGGTTGATTTTTAGGTTGGTCGAGTGGACGGGATAAAACTCCAAAAAAAGCAAACCCAACAGAACTTGTATGGTTTAGATTGAGGAATCTAGGTTGGTTAGGTTCTTGAGACATACGAACATATTTTTATGATAACCATGGATTATATGATTTGATTTGATGTAGTATTTACTTTTTATGGGGCCTATGTCTCCCGAAAAGGTCAATTTAGTCCCGATCGTATAATTAAGTTTGCTTAATTATCCAAAATATATCTCATAAAGACACCTACAAAATTTAGTTGAAGATATATTTAAATAGGGTCGTTAGAATTTATTGTATTACAATTTTGATCTCTATACTTAAATGGTCGTTTTTCAATATGGTCCTTGAATATTTGTAACATTTTTTTTTAATTATATCTTACAAGACACTCTTGTTGTTGTGAACGACAAGTAACAATTATCTATCGTCGAATGTCATTTTATAATATGACATTTTGTTTTAACGATGAAAATATCTAACTTGTCCGTAAAAAAAAAAATTGAACTAAATTTTAGAAAATTCTTTTTTTTTAATCCTAAAAACTTTTAAGTGAAATTACAAAATTGTCCTTTCGGGTCCCGGCTTTGAAAGTCGTAGGTTTCCACAACCCTTATAAAGGGTGTTTCAACTAATGTGAGACATCACAATAGGATGCAAATATTGTTTTCTTTGGGCTTTCTCTCAAGGCTTTAAAACACGTAGGTTTCCACACCCTTATAAAGGGTATTTTGTTCTCCTCCCTAACCAACGTGGGACATCACAATCCACCCCCCTTCCCCCCTTTCGGGGTCCAGTGACCTCGCTGGCACTCGTTCCTTCTCCAACTGATCTAGGAACCCCTCTAAATCCACTCCAAATGTCGATATGGTAACAATTTAATATACAAAATTTAGGTACAAAAATGATATTTTAAATAATCCCATAAAAAAAATTCAAAAGGGACAAAAGAGAGAAAAAAAAGAGAAATGAAAAGGATATTATTGTTTGGGGGGACAATGTCTTGTCATGCAACTTGTGAGGGTTTTGGTTTTAGAAGTCAAGTTGAGAATAGACCACAAGAAAGCGACTCTTAGTACCCACAAAATTTAAACGACTCCAAACTATGGGTATCCACATAAGCGGTTTTGGCTAATCTAATATCACGTAAATGTCCACGTTTCAATTATCCGAACACTCATAGATCTATAATTTTATACTCATTGATGTTCCTTGATATCAGTTCATATACATTTGATATACATTTATTAGTCTCTTTAAATTAGTTTACCAAAAATTGAAAATATTTAAAATTAGTTTAAAAAAGTCAAAAGTTGAGACGAGCTCCGAGCCATTCCGACCTCCACATAAATCTATCATATACATATTTAATTGTCTCTATTATTATAAATCATAATAATCATTGAGGGTTAAAGATGTTTGGTCAATTCTTTTGAAAGCATTTTTCAATTTTTTACCCTCTTAAGTAGGTAATTTATTAAAATATTTTATTAATAATTAATTAATTAATTAATTTTAGGTTATTTAATTATTAGACAAATAAAATAAATAATAACGACGAGGAAGTTGATATAAGTAATAACTATCCACTCGAATATAATTATATTATTTTTAAATAATAATTTAATTATAAGATAATCCATTGCCCAATTTTCTTATTAGGCATTCAACCATTACAACACATCTACTAAATAAAATTCAAAATTTTCCAATTCAATAAATGAATAAAGAAATAATTTCTTTTTGTTTTTTGTTTTTTATTTTTTTTTATTTTTTTTTAATTTTTAATTTTTTATTCTTCTCGTCAACTTGGATAATGCTATGATCCCCATCGCAAGGTTTTACGAGTTTTTTTTTTTTTTTTTAATTATTTATTTTAACGAAATTCATTTATTTTCTTTTTTACAATTTAAATGACTGTGCATTGAGGATATCCCATTAACGGCGATAACGGCGGCACGCTGAAAATCCCATTCATATCACAATCCCAAACCGTCGCCCAACATGACGGCGTCAACGGACAAATGCTCGTCGGGATTTCTTTCTCTGTTGTTTCCGGCGGTTCTTCTTTCTTCACCGCCTTGTTCCCTAATTCCACAGCCTCACTTTCTCTCCTCCTTTTCCGGCCAACCTCCGCCTTCAACGGCGGCTCTTCCGCCTCCTTTCCAGCTTCAAGAGGAAAATTCAAAATCGCTTTACTTCCCCTCATCTTGAAAGCAGCTCTGTCATAAGCTTTCGCAGCTTCAATGGCGGTATCATAAGTTCCAAGCCAAACACGAGCTCCACGTTTATTGGGGTCTCGAATCTCCGCCGCGAATTTCCCCCACGGCCGCCGGCGTACTCCCCTGTAATGCCGGCTCATACCCACATCCGATTTGGGTTCAACAGAATAGGTCTTGGGCGGAATCGCCACGTTTAGCGACGGCCGCCGAGGACTGACCTTTAAAGGGGCTGTGGAGATTGGAGGCTTTACTCCATTGTTGTCGAAGTTGAGACTTGAAGTGAAGGCTTCAATGGAGTTGAAATCGTTGAGGAGATGTTGGCTGATGAGATCTAAAGTAGAGGCGTCGTCTATGGAATCCATTAATGGCGAATGAAATTTGAAGAAGATTTTGAGTGGAAAATTGGGAGTGAAGAAATGGAGTTTATAAAGGGGAGGAGAAAGGGGGTTTCCATGGAGATTCGGGGAAAGGGAGAGGAAGGGACATAATTTGGGGGGAGATGAGGGTAAAAGGGTAATTTCATGTGGGCTCCATGAATGATTTGGGATTTCCAGGGAGCTTCGTACGGGTTGGATTATGTTTTTACTTTTTGTTGGAAAAAAAAAAAAAATGAAAATTCACTTTTTGATTTGATTTTATTAATTTATTGTTTTTATAAAAAACTAAGAAATCTATTTTTTATATTTTAATTGTTTGAATTTTGATTTATTTGAAGACCATAGAATTTGTTACGTAGACGAGTCTGATACAATTAATAATATATATATATATATATATATATATATATATATATATATATATCTAAAAAAAATTATAAAAAATAAAAATATCAATTTAAAATAAGTTAAAGTATTTATTTTTCATCCCTTATATCTTTTTTTATATAAAAAAAATTAATTACTATTTAAAAAATATGTAAAACCATTTTTTACCTTTTAAAATCCTCTAAAATACTCATTTTTAGTCATTTATGTTAATTTTATATTGATTAAAAAAAATTAACACTAAATAAAATATATTTATAAACTCTAAATTTGTAAACTATTAAAATTTTAAACTTTTAAAATTTATAATTTAATTCCTCTTTAACTTTTAAAAAAAAATTAGTTTTGGTTATGAATATTAGGTAAATAAGAATTAAAATGATTACATTTTATAATATATGAATTAATAATAACTGAAGGTTTGAACCTTATTATAATTGAAAGTTGAAGCATTGACAAAATTACCACAGTGCTATAAAAAGACAATAATATCCACGTGGGTTCCACGTGGTCGGCTGAGAAGTTGGCGGCTTCCGGAGATCTAATATTTAATTATTTACTTTATTTAAAAAATAAAAAACGGTTAAAAGCATTGTTCTAGAAGGGCATTGTATTTGGGAGCTGCAGCCCACTTGAGAGAGACGAGTTGCGTAGAAGCCTTTAATTAAATGGGCCCTCCCTTGTGCTAAAAGTGAATGAATTTGATCATTTTCTTTCCCATAATGGGACCCTTTCATGTTTGATAATCTTGCCTCCTCATCTATTTCAACTTTCCTCCATCTAATTAAATGCTTCTAGAAGCGATTTCTTTTGTTCGTACGTCTTTTTAGATTAGCTCGTTTCGGTCTCGACCAGTATAGAGAAGAGGATTAGACCAACCAATACTCTTTTGGGTCGAGCGTTGACCTGTTCTTGAGAAGGATGGTGCACCTTGGCCTCAACCTCCCTTCCTAGCCGAGGTTGAGGAGGATAGTTGGGCTAGACATAATTGCCTCCTTCGGCCATACACTTCACATGTTTCTAGCGATTCACATGGCATCATCAAATGATACAAGTCTTGGATAAGAATCTACAACGCACTAGAACGCCCTTGTTGACGATCCTTTACTCCGACAGCATCTAGGGTTCCTCGAACAATGTGATATCTCACACCGGGTAAATCCTTAACCCTTCCCCCTCTTACTAAGACTACAGAATGTTCTGCCTCAACCTCCCTTCCTAGCCGAGGTTGAGAAGGATAGTTGGGCTAGACATAGTTGCCTCCTTCGGGACCTTATCAATCTAAAGGTAAAAATTTTTCGATTTTTCTCTCGATTCAAATTGGCCTCGACCCCTTTGTACGAACCCATTGATTCTCTTCTTTCATAAACGATTATGCTACTGGTTGCATCTCACTAATACATTTTGAGGCATTTTATGTTTACTATAATAATAAAACAATACATCATATATATATTACATTACTTTTAATTTTGGGGTAAGTTTGAATTATATATATATAAAATAAAAATAAAAATAAAAATAAATATAAATAAATAAATAAATCAACCCGGTAGAAGCGCTTCAACATATATATATAGCGTCTGTTCAACTCCTCAGCGAGTAACCGAAAAATTTATGGACGAATCCAAGTTTTACGAATGCCAGAAACGAGAGGAAATTAGTAAGTATATTCTTCTTATCCATTCGTTCATTCTCCTTTGCCTTTTCTGCTACTCGATTTCGGAATCGGAATAGTATCGTTAATCTACAGAGTATTTGTAATTGTATATTATGTTCATGTTGTCTTCAGATTCATCCTGCCCTAATTTTTCTTCTATCAGTTTGATACACATTGTTTTCATTAGTTGCTACCTGAGTTAAGTTTGAGTTTATTCTGAAGTGTAATTTGTTAGGCAATATGGATGTTGATGAGTCATATCTTGATCTCCTAGCTCTGAGGGAATTATACATCCTTCTCTTGAAGAGTTGTTTGCGAGATGCACCTTCAGAACTTGTAAGCCTCCCTGAATTAGTCATCTCGTTTTTATTCTCGTTTCATTTATAGTTTTTCGAATTCTACGTCATTTTAAGCTAGTTTTCACTTTAAACAACTTGACGAAAATCTGTTCATTCAAATTTCAAGTCGATATAATTTAAGAACATACAATCGTAAGAACCAGACTTGTTCAACCATTATACTCATAGTCTGATCTTATCAAGCATGAAACTATCTTACCGAACTTGCAGATCAGTAGATTTCGGCTACCTTGTGATTTTTATGTGAATTTAGGATGATAGAGATTGTGAGATAAGGCAGTTTGAGTGCGTTTTCTACTTGAACATTTGAGTGTTTTAGTTTGGCTTTATTGTCAAAGCAGCTGGATGAAAGGGCACAGATTTTATTGAAGAATTTTCTCGATGATGCTACTGCTGAAGTTCTTGAGTTTCTCTCAAAGGTTTATATTTCATTCTGCTTAGAAAAAGAAAAACAATTTGACGTAGATAAATGTCAAGAAAAATAGTTCAAGTTTAATTTCATGAAGCTGCCTAGTAACATGCATTCCCTTTTAAGTTTGTGCAGAACTTGGCAACAGACTCCGGCATTTTTTACAAATTTCTACACAAAGATAATAAACAGACAAAGCCACTGGACGAGAAAGTTGTTGAACGGATGAAACACATCCCAAAGAGGGCCAGAGGTTCAGCTTCAAAGGCTACCACTGACTTAATATTACAGGGCATCCGTTCAGCACTCAGAAGAATTGAACACCACATTCTATCACGGCAACGTTATATAAGTCAAAGTAAAAGAAGCCATATCAGTTACTGTGGGCGGTCTGTTCTTAAAGGGAATGAGACATTAAACCGCCAGAAAGTTCAATCAAGGACAGATCACTCAACTATAAGCGCCAGACAGATAAAAGGTCATCTTGTTGGTGGACAGAATGTTAAGCCGGTATTGTCACCCCATTGCTCTGAGTTCGTTCATGGATTCAGATTGCCTCTGAGTCAAGGCAATGCAGAGGGCAGGAAACCTCTTGCCGTTGAAACTCATCTATCCAAACAACACAAATTTGTAAATCCAATGACTCGGATAGATAGATCTGGAGGTTCAGTAGGATCCAAGGCAACAATCATGCCCAGAAAAAAACCAAGTCAAAGTCGTGTAAAGAGGAGCAAAAATTCATATGGTCCTCATATGGTAATGAAGCCAACGTTGCTGGAGCATCCCTCCAGAGAAGTAAGAAAGGAGGAAACCCAAAACAAGACACATTTGGCCAGTCAGCAAGAAGCAGAATTCACAGATTCAGCTTCTTCTTCAAGTTGGACAACTCAACAGACCAGTGAAAGTGAAACCCTTGATGAATTTTCTTCCCCAAGCCACCAAGATGAACCGCCAGCAAATAGTTCAAAGGCAAGTAGTAGAAGATACAGCCATGGGAAAAAAGAGTCCAAGAGAGCAATTGGACGGTTCAAGAGACTCAAAAACAAACTAGGCATTATCTTCCACCACCACCACCATCATCACCACCATAACAGACATAGCTTCATGTGGAATCGGGTAAGAAAAATCTTCCATCCCACAAATAACAAAAAACTAACAAGTATGGAAGATAGATATGAGAAGGTAAAGAATACAGCAGTCAGAAGCGAGGGTTGGACGAATCAAGTTAGTAAGTTTCAGGCGATTGCTAAAGAGCTTCAAAGCCATGTACGGAGATCGAAAGCTATGAAAAAGAAGGATCCATGGAAGATGAAATGTGGGAAGGGTGTAAAGAAATTGCATTGGTGGAAGCTATTTTGTAATCGACATGGAGTGCGGTTCCACAATAAAGGGTGTATTAGAAGAATAAGGTACGTAAATAGAAAATCTAAGCTATAACTGGCTTACGGATGACTATATTACAATTTTTAAACTCAAAATTTCATCTTAAGAATATAATGTTTGGAAATCAACGTTCCCAAAGTTTCAACTTCCACAGTAAATAGTACTGATTTAAAATTTTATTCATGTTTGAAATTGTTTTTTAATGCAAAATTTGTTTCACAATTGATTTTAATTATTAATTCTCTTTTCCAATTGAAAATTATCATTCACTGCTTCATTATAAACTCTTATTTCATGTCCTCAGATATATTAATTTTGTTCTAAATTTTATTTTATTAAACATCTTTTGTCATCCAATTGATTACTGAGCTCCATAATGCCTGTTAAACTCAATCCAAAATCCTCAAACGTAAACCCATTATCGATCAAGGAAATAGAATCGACCCCAATTTCATCAGCAAATTTCAATACATTTTGATCCAAGACATAGATAGTTCAGACTATACACTAATTAAAAAGACATGATTTTGTAGCTTTTTTCAAAAGCTTCAAAAACCCAGATGGAAATATGCTTTAATAATCATCATCATCAGAAAGGAAATTTTGTTCTCATCCACAGCATGGCTTTACTGTGTAGGAAGGTGTCCTAAGATTATTCCTCATTTCATCACTTGATAAACATAAAAGGACTGGAAAGTAGCATAAAAACCAACAATTCAAATATACAAGAAAAGAAACAAAACTCAATCCAACCCACAACGAAAAAAGACTTGGAACTTGCAATTCGGAAGAGTTTTAAAAAGCAAGAAAAGAGAATGGATTACTCAGAAGGCAATGGAGATTATTAGGTTCGATTCTGCCAGCAGATTCTCCTCAATGGACATCAGAAGAGGGAGCTTCTTTATCCTCATTGTAACCTTCCCTTTCCCAAAAGAAATACAACAACAAACAAAACCAGCCTGATTTCTTTCAAACAGAGAACGAAACAAAAAAAAAAAAAAAAAAGACAAACCAGAGAGATGGCTCAGTTTCGAAAGTAATCGACACGCAAGTTTCAAAAAGAAACCTGCATTCCGGTCTGTTGAGCTTGATCTTTTAGGAAATCATCAAAGCCACCATTCGTATATAGAATCAGAAAACAGTGAAATTCATTCATCGCTGGATCTAAATAAACTCAGACAACTTAAAACAGTTCATCAAGCAACATAGAATACCATAAACAAGTCGATCTATCAAGAACACAAACAATTTCGAACAGAGATGGAGGATCCAGAATTTTCAAACGGAGCTAAGAAGCAACATCGAAGAATCTAAGCCTGAAACAGTGTGGTCGCCGCTGAAATCAAAAGAATGGTGACTGAAGCGATGAGAAGAGATTTGTTCTGCTTCGTGGGTTTAAATAGGGGGGGAAGAGGTAACTGAGTACTGAAATTAGGGTTTCTGTTTCCGCCGCTAGGCTTTCGGCTTCAGATGCGGGCTCGTCCTTGAAGAAGCCCAATGCCCCCAATCTAATTAGGCTTCCAAGTTCGGCCCAAATCTAGTTTTTAAATCACTGCTTAACTTACAAATTAGTAATTCTTAAATAAAATATCAAAATATAACATTTAACAAAAATTATCCAATATAAATAATATAATATAAAACAAATAAAAACTCAAATATTATATTATAAAGGCCAAGGAGATGACATAACACGCCAAGACAATCCCAAGTGCCTCTTTTCCACCGATCACATGCCGAGTCGAGCCGCTCGGAATGCCATCGTTGTCGGTTTTGGAAGAGGGCCGAGGGAGGCCGTCAGACTGCGGCGGTGGCTGAGGAGCAGCGGCCGGGGAGAATGATTGGTTGTTCTCGACATTGACTTGCATCTTCATTCCGCCGAGACAGAGCAACCTGTTGCCGGAAACGAAGAATCTTTGGCCGGGCTGCGACAGTGTGACGGTAGTGTTTCCGTTTGTGTAGGCTTTTAGAACCTTGGTGGTGTTGCAGGTATTGTAATTCTCTCTTGTCACTTCGTTTAAACTCTGCGACGATGAGTATTGGAACACTATATATATATATATAAAGAGAATTAAAATTACATAGAGAAAGTACAATACACTCTGTTAGACGAACCCGACTCTCCACAATGGTATGATATTATTCACTTTGAGCATAAGCTCTCATGGCTTTGCTTTGGGCTTCCCAAAAGGCCTCATACCAATGAAAGTGTGTATTCTTAGATTATAAACCCATGACCATTCCCTAAATTAACCGATGTGAGACTTTCATCATCCAACACCTCCCCTCGAACAAAGCACGCCTCCCCTTAATCGAGGCTTGACTCCTTTGGAGTCTTAGTCATTTTTGACTGCCTTCGTACCTTCAAGGAGGCTTGACTCCTTTTTGGAGTCCTTTGTTCGACATTCGAGGATTTGTCAATCTATTGGCACGGTTAAGTTTAGGGCATGACTCTGATACCATGTTAGACGAACACGACTCTCCATTGGTATGAGGCTTTTTGGGAAGCCCAAAGCAAAGCCACGAGAGCTTATGCTCAAAGTGGACAATATCATACCATTGTGGAGAGTCGTGTTCGTCTAACACATTCAACCGTGCATAGCCAAAAATGAATGTAAATGAACACAGATATGATCGTACCAAGAACATCTCCGACATAGAACCTCTTGCCCTGAGACCAAGTGTCGAGATCGGTGCTGATATCCCAACCAGAAGTGTCTCCTACAATGTATGTGGCGGCATTGCAGCTCAATGCAAGCCCTCCAATGATCACCAACACATAGACCCAAATGTTATTTGCCATAGCCATACCCATCGCTGTTAGAGACACCCACTTTCTAATTTATACTTAAACGAAGCTTTCATTTCCTCTCTTTTTAGCTTACCTAACTCCGCCAACTTCCATTTCTTCCCCCTTGTTTATAAAGCCCAAGCAGCTAAACCTCCAACTCCAACCCCAACCACAACCAATTGTCTACCTCCTTTGACTTTTCGGATCTTTTGTATCTAGTTGCTCGGTCGTTAGATACACAATAGACTATTTAACAGTACAATGCTTGTCGATATTGAAAGAGAACCATTGACATAATTTTTTTCTTCAATTTGGGTTCGTGTTTTGATCTATGTTGAAGCCGAAAATGGGACGATTTTACTTGAAGTTACTCGAACAGGCTCATGAAAGTTTAGTAGGTTGCCTTGGTGAGCAAGTAGGTAGCCTAACGTTTGGTCACAATATTGCTCATGGGTATGACTTTTTTTTTATTGACTATATTCAATAAAAATTCATTACAAAATGTCGATAACAAAAATACACTTCTCGAGATGTGAATGAGACCTTCGAGAGTAGGCCCACTCAACTCCATTTACTTTCATAACCTCGATTTCTTTTTTATGAAACCTATCTTTCAAGAAAATTTGGAGGGAAAATCTTATAGTTTTGTTTTTATAATATTGAAAAAATATCCCATTAAATTTTAATTGAAAAATAAATTTTCATTAATACGACGTCGTAAGAAGCAATTAATTGTTTATTCAATATCTTATTTTAAAACATAAGCAGGGTATTATGGCAGTTGCCAAATCCACGGAGTCGGTCACGTGACCACCACGTGACCAAAACAAAAATTAGGGCAAAATCTTGTGCTCCATAAATCAGTGAAGCGGCCGAATGTGAAACTTCAGAAACTCCCTCTGCCTCCCATTTCTCTGATTTCTCCAATGGTTACAGTTCCGTTGATGTAGCATCCCGTCTAATCTATTGCATCCTTGTTCTTCCTCAAGGATGCTCTCTGTTCTTGTGAGTTTCTTCTGATTTTGCATATATCTTGATTTGTTTTGCCCGGTTCCGTTTTGGACTGCCGTAAGTACCTGTTTTTTCGTTTCTTCTTCTTCTTTCGTCGATTTAATCTGTGACGCTTTTCATGTGGTTTCTTGTAAAATTTCTGTCGTAATGTTGTTTGCGCGAATTAGTGGATGAGGATGAAGCAATAACTATAATCCAACACTTGATCTGAGATAATGTATTCATTATCAGTTGATGCTACTGTTAGCTTCTGAATCTACTTTGCCGTGAGTACCTGTTTTCTCGTCGCTTCTTCTTCTTTCGCAGATTTAATCTGTGACGCATTTCATATGATTTCTTGTACAATTTCTGTCGTAATGTTGTTTACGCGAATTAGTGGATGAGGATGAAGCAATTACTATTAATCCAACACTTGATCTGAGATAATGTAATCATTATCTGTTGATGCTACTGTTAGCTTCTGAATCTACTTTTGTCTATCAATCCATCTCTCCGTTTACTTCGCTGTTATTTTTTCTTTTCCTAGTTTTCTAATGCTGAATGCATAAATTTTAATCTGTGTTGCGATTAACCGCTGCACCTGGATTACAGTATTCAAGCTTGCGTGTTTTCGTCACTATCATTTGTTTTGAAATAATCTAATCCAAATTGTAGTTACAATGCTTGCCTCATCAGAATGAGATCTGATACTCTCTTACGTGGTTTGCTTATATGCTGCTCTCTTCTTTGAGTTAAATATAGTTATTTTAACTTCTATTTTGCGTAGGCATGTTGAAAGTTTTCATGTTTTGTTTCCATGTATTTCCATTAAAAGATTGTGTTTTAGAATCATTAGGATTTTAGTATGATCTCAATTGCATAATGATGCTAACGTCGAAGTTTTAATTACATATATTTATTTAAATTTTAACATGTAAATATAAATTTTCTAAGAATTTCATGATCACATGCTTGACAATGGGTCTATCTTAAATGACTTTTAAGTGTTTTTAAATGGGAAAAAAAAATTGACGAAGCATTTTGGTGTTTGCTTCCAATCCTAAGTGGCCTGACAAATTAACCAAGAACTATTCCTAGGAAATCACTGATATGATCTATTCTTTTATTTTATTTAATCTGAGCTCTTAATTGAGTTAACAATATATCTCTGCATCGGGTAATGCATTGTGCAAATGGATTCAAATGATTCTCCCTCTTATTTCCAAAAAATCATTTAGAAGCAAAATAATGAGAGAAAGGAGCAGCTATCATTGATAAACAAAGGATTTGTGTTTACAACCTCATAGTTTTATTGATTACATCGAGTTATACCCAAACGACTGTAGAGTCATTAATGTTGATCCACGTAAGATCAAATGATTCATACCCTAATGTTAAGTATTTATAATTTTTGCTTAAGCCATGTAATTTGAATCTCATGCTTTCTTAAAGCAACAAACATCTCCCTATTTTCTCTTTTGATAAGTATATCTGCAGCCTTCATATACAATTCATCACCTTCCACAATTCCAGGCAACCCCCTTAAAGTTTCCATTACTTCAAGCGTACTACATCCTGGTAAATCTCTTCTTCTGTATTCTATTGCATCACAAAGATGTTCTAATGCCTCGAACAACCTCGATGAAGATAATCCAACTTTTGAATCTTCTACTTTTTTCCTCCTTTTCTCACTGCCTTGACTATAAGTTGCACTTGTATTAACTTCATTAGTGTTACTTTCAATGTTGTTGAACTCATTTTCATTCAACTTTGTGTCTCCTATTGTGTCATCACTTGAAGACTTACGTAAAACAACCCGAGTTGGGGTTGGCACCCATGCTCCTCCATTGCCTGCTGCAACATCTTCAAAGAGAATGTTCAAGAGCTCCACATTTTGCAGTCCTTGTGCACGAAACTTAGTTGCTTCAGGAAGAATCTGTAAAATGATAATACATCGTAGGATTGAAAGTTAAGAATTGTCATACAAATTCAAATATGATTATTACCTTTAATTTGTCATCCCACCATTGACTAGTGGCATCAATGGTTTGCCTCTGAGTGTCCCATCCTAATTGTTTATCAGTTCCAATCAAATCATTCCAGACTTGCCAGTCTCTTTTGAGCGTTGTCCATTTGTTCTTGAGCTGCTTGTATCCGTAGTTTCTTCCTGTCTTTGCATTGAAGTTCTTAACAACATTCCTCCATCCAATCTTAGTAAAATGACCATGAGTTCTATTCCCATTTAAAGTCTCAGTAATACAGACATTTATGAATGAATCAACAGTAACATCATCCCTGTTAAGGATAGTTGACCGTTCATTAAGGCAAATATCTAGATATTTGCCTTACATTACGGGTTACCATATTTTCTCTTTTACTAAATGCAAATATATTGTATTCATTTATTATTCTTTCCTTTTATCGCTATTTCCTTATTATTTGTAATTTACCTTATTTCTGTATTCTGTAAATGATTATAAATAAGAGAACTCTCACCACCATTTGGGTGTGGTGGATTAATCAAACATTCACATGGTATCAGAGCCCTTTCGGTTTAACAACCCTGATCCTTTCTTCTCTATGGCTTCCGAATCTTGTTATCATCTTCTTCCTTTCAATACTCTAATCCATATGATCACCATCAAACTTTCTTCCTCCAATTATCTTCTTTGGAAAAGCCAACTTCTCCCTCTTCTTGAGAGTCAAGACATGCTGGGCTATGTCGATGGAACTATGGTTCCACCACCTCGCTTTGAACCAGAAACCTCCTCAACATTCAACCCCAAATATTTGGCATGGAGAGCAGCCGATCAACGACTTCTCTGTCTCCTGCTCTCCTCTCTCACTGAGGAAGCCATGGCTGTTGTCGTTGGTCTCTCTACTGCACGTGATGTTTGGCTTGCGTTGGAAACTACGTACAGCCATCAGTCAAAAGCTCGTGAACTGAGACTCAAGGATGACTTGCAGTTGATGAAACGTGTTTATCCTTTGAAGGTAAGTCACCCTTTGAACTCCTTTATGGCTACACTCCACATTATGACAATTTTCATCCCTTTGGTTGTCGTGTTTATCCTTATTTGCGTGATTATATGCCTAACAAGCTTTCTCCCCGCAGCATTCCTTGTATTTTTTTGGGTTATAGTCCTGTTCATAAAGGGTTCCGCTGTCTTGATCCCGCCACCACTAAGCTATATATCACCTGCCATGCTCAATTTGATGAAACTCACTTTCCTGCTATCCCTAGCTCCCAAGCCCAACCTCTTTCCACTATTCCTATTTCAAATTTCTTGGAACCACATCTTCATCATATTGATTCATCCCCCCCTACCACTTCATCACCGCACATTCCTCAATCCAGTTCATCCCCGTGTGATATTTGTTCTGACCTTGTAGATGAGTCTGTGCAGGTTGATACTTCTCTTGCAGGTTCCACTTTGTCACCCTCGACTTCTAATTCAACCTCTATTGAACCTCCTGTTGATTTCTCTTCTTTGGGCACTCATCCTATGATCACACGCGCCAAAGCTGGTATATTCAAGACTCGTCATCCAGCAAATCTTGGTATGTTGGGCTCATCTGGACTTCTCTCTGCTCTTCTTGCATCCACTGAGCCAAAAGGATTCAAATCTGCGGCTAAGAATCCTGCTTGGGTGGCTGCCATGGATGAAGAAATTCGAGCGTTACAACAAAATGATACTTGGACTTTGGTTCCTCGCCCTGCCAACACCAACATCGTGGGCTCTAAATGGGTGTTTCGTATTAAATATTTGCCCGATGGATCCGTCGAGCGTTTCAAGGCTCGTCTCGTTGCCAAAGGTTATACTCAGGTTCCTGGTCTTGACTACACTGACACTTTCAGTCCAGTTGTCAAAGCTACCACTGTCCGTGTTGTGCTTTCTATTGCAGTCACAAATAAATGGCCTCTTCGACAACTTGATGTCAAGAATGCTTTTCTCAATGGAACGCTTATTGAACGTGTTCATATGGAACAACCTCCTGGGTATGTTGATCCTCGATTTCCAAAGCATGTTTGTCTATTAAAGAAAGCTCTCTATGGCTTAAAGCAAGCTCCTCGTGCTTGGTTTCAGCGTTTTAGCTCATTTCTTCTCACACTTGGGTTTTCTTGTAGTCGCGCTGACACGTCCCTTTTTGTCTTTCATCAGCAATCTAACCTTATCTATTTGCTTCTTTATGTTGATGACATTATTGTTACCGGCAACAACTCATCTCTTATTAACAGCTTTACTCGCAAGCTTCATTCTGAGTTTGCTACCAAAGATTTGGGTTCTCTCAGTTACTTTCTTGGTCTTGAAGCTTCACCCACTCCTGATGGTCTCTTTATCAGTCAGTTAAAATATGCTCGAGATATTCTTACTCGTGCTCAGTTGCTCGATAGCAAACCAGTTCACACTCCCATGGTTGTTTCTCAACACCTGACTGCTGATGGTTCTCCTTTCTCTGATCCTACTCTCTACAGATCTCTTGTTGGCGCCCTTCAGTACTTGACTATCACGCGTCCAGATATTGCCTATGCTGTCAATTCTGTCAGTCAATTCTTGCATGCCCCTACTGCAGATCACTTTCTTGCTGTCAAACGTATTCTTCGCTATGTCAAAGGAACACTCCACTTTGGTCTTATCTTTCGTCCATCCACTGTTCCTAGTACGCTAGTCGCTTATTCGGATGCTGACTGGGCTGGTTGTCCCGATACTCGTCGTTCTACATCCGGCTATTCTATTTATCTTGGTAACAATCTCATTTCTTGGAGTGCCAAAAAGCAACCTACTGTATCACGCTCCAGCTGTGAATCTGAGTATCGTGCTCTTGCCACAACTGCTGCTGAACTTCTTTGGGTTACGCATATTTTGCATGACCTCAAGGTCCCTATTTCACAGCAGCCCTTACTCTTATGTGACAACAAAAGTGCTATTTTTTTGAGCTCTAATCCTGTTTCTCACAAGCGGGCCAAGCATGTTGAACTAGATTATCATTTCCTTCGAGAACTTGTTATCGCTGGCAAACTTCGTACACAATATGTACCCTCTCATCTCCAAGTTGCTGACATCTTCACAAAGAGTATTTCTCGACCTCTCTTTGAATTTTTCAGATCCAAGCTTCATGTTCGTTCAAATCCGACGCTCAGCTTGCGGGGGGGTGTTAAGGATAGTTGACCGTTCATTAAGGCAAATATCTAGATATTTGCCTTACATTACGGGTTACCATATTTTCTCTTTTACTAAATGCAAATATATTGTATTCATTTATTATTCTTTCCTTTTATCGCTATTTCCTTATTATTTGTAATTTACCTTATTTCTGTATTCTGTAAATGATTATAAATAAGAGAACTCTCACCACCATTTGGGTGTGGTGGATTAATCAAACATTCACAATCCCAAATTGCCTTTGTTTGCCTCTCCTCTTCATCACTGGCAGCTAAACTCTTGGACATTCTAATACGTAAACAGTAGATATGTAAGTCAATTCTGACTACACGACCCAAATCATAAAAATTGGGTTGTACTGGATTTTTTCTAGTTTGTTGGGTTGAAGCTTTGCAACCCAACTAATCCGATAGATTCTATTAATCATCAATTCAATCCACTCAACCTGAATTTTTTAGTTTCAGTGTCATAATGCATTATGAGTTGGACAAGGGAATAGTATAGCAATCCCCTGTTTAAAAATATGAAGCACAGAATCCCAATTCTCTCTGTTCATAAAGCTTCCTCTATCTTCTCTCATCTGAACCCATTTGAATAAAGGTTTCTAGTACTAAAAGTGATGCCAGAGGAACTGAACAATGAATGAGAAACAATGGTGAACAAACAGAGGGAAACAGTCCAATAATTCCTTCGCCGATCACAAAAAAAGAGAAAACAATTGTTTATTTCGACCAGAACAGAAAGAATGAAGAATCGAAATCAAAAAGGAGAAGAAAAAGAAAAAGTTGGAAGCGTACCTTAAGAAGAGAGTGAAGAATGGAGTAATTAATGGGGAGAGCCGAGGAAGGCAGTGGCAGATTTATGGTAGAAATTTGAAGAAGAATAAGAAGAGAGAAATTAGGGCGGAAAGGGATGAGTGAATCAAATGAGAGTTGACGCAAAGTGCTTCTAATTCCATCTCCTCTTCTCACTTTTTCTTAAACCCTATAGCAAAAAGAAAGCCTAAAGGGTTCCAAAACCACTTTCTATCATGATTTTTGACTCAACCCAACTCACTTCCACCCCCTTTTGGTTTGGTTTGGTTTAGTCAAAGGTCGTTAAAACCGTCTGAACCGGATCAATCTCGAGAGTTTTTAATTGTAGGCTTTCATCTCATTCTAACCTTTCATCAATCTCAAGTAAAACATAGCAACAATGAGTATAAAAATTATACGTCACCTACTTGTAGGCTCTTTGTAGGCTTTCATCCATCCTAAGCTTAATAGGTTCTCACGGCTCCTAATTGGCTCTGGGACATCTAGTTTTAGTCTTAGTTCCATGGAACTTCACTGGTTCTCTGTCCTTTCATTTCATACCTAAGAGTTCCTTAGGGCGAGCTGTAATGACCGGTTATTTAGCTTAGGGGTGTGCTGAGTACCTCGTAAGCTCATAATAGTCCCCTGTGGGGGAGCGGCTACTCGCGAGTACCACGCGTTTGCGAAGGTTCTGCAGTCACGATTTAGGCACTCCAGTTAGGGTCAATGAGTCAATTTGCTCGTGTGGACGGCAGGTTGGTTTGGGTTTGAAGGCGACACGTGATGCCATTTCGCTGGAGCTACGTTGCTCTAGTCGACGCTTGACGTGTGTCCTTTGCCTGCCAAGCTGCGTTTCACCGCCTACGGGTCGCTGTTGGAATTTCTTCTCTCTCCTTCAAGTAACACAAAACGATTTCTGATCCATTTCTTGGTTTTTTCCATTTTCATATCTTTCTATTATGAGCTCAAATCACGTTGATCCCTTCATCAAACCTTTAGATTGTGTTACAAGCTACGATATGTTTTTTTTTTCTTGATTTTAGACTCAACATAGAATGAGATTTGAGCGTCAGAAGAGGTTCGTTTTTTGTTTTACCATTCTTGGGTGATCTCTCGGGATTCTGACTCAAATCTTGTTTTTCAACGGAGTTTCTTCACAGATTTTGAAGAACAACCTCCCTATTAAATTGTTCACGAGGATCCCTCTATCTCCTCTCACTTTTCTCTCCCTAACTTTCTTTTCTCTTGTGGTATTCTAATTGGGGTCCTTGGACCCATATAATGAATGGAGGAGCAAAATGACACATTTGCCCTGACTGAGGGTCCTTGGACACCAATAATGACTGGAGGGGCAAATGTGTCATTTGCCCTAATTGGGTCCTTGTACACCTCGATAATGACCGAAGGGGCAAAATGACACATTTGCCCTGATTGGAGGTCTTTGGACACACCAATAATGACCGGAGGGGAAAAATGACATATTTGCCCTGATGGGAGGTCCTCAGCACCCCAATAATTACCATATGGGCAAAATGACACATTTACCCCTCGGTTGACTTGATTTGACCAATATTTTTCCGAGCATTACAGAAAACAAATTCATAGCAAATTGAATTATCACAGTTAGGAGTACGAATCCAAATCACGCGACTATGATTTCTTTTTCTTTGAATAATCGTACCACCGCTAAATCAACAAAAAGAAAAAACGTATTGAAATGTAAATGAAGGAGACAGAAATGAAGAACATAAGGGATTTTGAAAGGAATCGAAATCAGGCCTCAGACAGAGAGAGCTCGATCAAATTATAGAAGATAATCAGACAATGTCGGCAAATCAAAATATCAGTCATCAACGGCCCGATTTCACTCACAAAAACAAATCTTACAAAGAAAAAGAAAAACAAAACAATTGAACCAGAGATTGTAATGGAAGACGATTCCCTGCAATTCACCATTTATATACACCTTCTCCCCTTTTTGTATGAAAAGACTAAAATACCCCGCTTCTCCCTACTCCTAGGATTTTATATATTATATATATAACTGCCCATTTTTCTATGAAAAGACCAAAATAACCCGCGTCTCCCTAGTCCTAGGATTTATTTATTATTATTATTTTTATTTTTTTTACCGTCAAAAGTTTATAATTTATATTATATTTTATTATAAATTTTCAATTTTTTTTTAAAGCTTAGAAAGAGATTATATATTTGGTTAACTTAATTATTAATTTTAAGTAAAGAAGGAGATATTGTTCTTGGTTCATTACTTATCGTTATCGGCTCATGATTTTGAATGCGTATGCTAGGGAGAGTATTCTGATTGGAGTCCTTGGACGGCAAATGGGCAAAATGACATATTTACCCTGATTTGGGTCTTTGGACACCCATATAATAATTGGAAGGGCAAAATGACACATTTGCCCTTTGTTGACTTGGTCAAATTCAATTCATTTGAAATTGAATTATCATAGCAGCCGTATGAATTCAAATCATGCGGCTATGATTTCTTTTTCTTTCGACAATTGTATCGATAAATCAACAAAAAGAAAATTGTATCGATTTGCGGTATTCTGATTGGGGTCTTTGACCCCCTATAATTACTCGAGCAGCAAAGGAGTAAAATAACACATTTGTCCTAATTGGGGGCTTTGAGCACTCCTATAACGAAAATTAACAAAGTTGACCAGAGAAATCCCGACATAATTAAATTCATCGATAGATCTTAGATATCCAAATAAAGTTAGTTGCGTCCGAAGACATATTCATGTTATGAACAAGTCATTTACAAAATTGACGTTTTTGCACGACATATGTATGTTTCTGTCGGTTGATCCTAGATATGACGATGAATTTAGTTAAGCTCGAAAAAAGGTGGAATGCACGTTCCATAATATTGTGAAACGTAACCCCCCTTATAAAGAATGTTTTGTTTCCCTCTCCAACCGATGTGGGATCTCACACTCAACCCCCCTTCGGGTTCCAACGTCTTCGCTAGCACTCGTTGCTCTCTCCAACCAATGTGAGATCTCACAATCTACCCTTCTTCGAGGCCTAGCATTCTCACTAACACACTGCCATATGTCTGACTCTGATACCATTTGTACAAACCCAAGCCTATTGTTAGCATATATTGTCCGTTTTGGCCTGTTACATATCGCCGTCAGCCTCACGGTTTTAAAATGCATCGGTTGGAAATAGGTCTTTACACCTTTATAAAGAATGCTTCGTTCCCCTCTTCAACCAACGTGGGATCTCACACTTTCATTCACTTGTTTGTTCGATTTGTGCTATAGCCCAAAGTAACAAAGACTTTGGGCTAAGATACGAGTCCATCAACGCTTGCACCTACGACGGTATAGATTATTTTGAAAAGAACTTAGCTTATTGTCTAAGTTATCCCATGTTTGCTTCGGACCCAAGGGATCTTTGGTTAGCCTTAGCTTTGATAGTGCATGTGGCTCGTGGTGCTTGTTCCGTACAATTTGCCACCTTGGAAATGCATGAAAAAATATTTAAAAAAATTTAAAAATTATTAATGAAGGAAAAAATTAATAATTAATTTTCTATAAAAGAATTGAACTCTAAATTAAGGGGAGTTTTGATTCCAATTAAAGCCTTCAATTTTCAATGCTATTTCCACAAGTAAAGGCATCAAATTTACTTAATTATTTTATATCCACTTCAATAACATTACATATATTTCCTACAAAATTAATATTTAATAATAGTTGCATACGATTGAACATGCATACACGACGAAATATGTAGTCGAACAAGCTTAGATTTTGTATGAGTTATGTTCGGTTGGCGACGGAGAACTTCGCCAAAGATGCCATGAACCTACAAAGTTGGACAAAAAATAGAAATGAGGCTTGAGTTCCCCTTACGACCTGTCATGAGCGTGTCCAAATCATGACACCTCACGGTTAAGGACATGTTTGGAATGACATAAAAAGTCAACCCAAGTAGAGTCTAAGCTTTTTGAATCAACCGAGTTCTAATAAAATGTAGAAATTGCAACGATTTTCCAAGTTTAGGCTCAAATTTCGTAAAACCAAAAGTTTATGGTAAAAACTAATACAACCCGACAAATTTATGGGTATGAAGTCCTTATTTAGGGCATGTTCGAGAGTGGTTTTATTAAATTAAAAGTCGGGTTTGGGATTGTCAACTTAGAAAAGTGCTTTGAAAGCACAAAAAAGAGACCATTCATTCCCCTTAGCATCCAACCCTACCTTCAAGAAAGGCCTCTCTCCTTCAAAGGAAGAGTTTTTCAAATGCTTCAAAGCTAAGGGATTGTTGTTATAAGCATTATAAAAGCTTTGCCAAAGGATAAGAATTTTGGTACATAGAGAAGAAAAAGAGCTAAAAAATGGGGTTTTTTTTAAAGCTTTTTGGAGTGTATCTTATAATGGTTAAAGCTATGGCTTCCCATAACTATGGAGATGCCTTAACCAAAAGCCTATTGTTCTTTGAAGGTCAGAGGTCTGGGAAATTGCCCCCTAATCAAAGGGTCACTTGGAGGAAGGATTCAGCTCTTCATGATGGCCTTGAATTTGGCGTAAGATCACTCTTTTTCTTCTCTTTTATTCACTTTTTAGGGTATTTAGGGTAATCGTGTAACGGCTCAAGTCTACCGCTACTAGATATTGTCTTTTTTGGACTTTCTCTTTCGGGTTTCCCCTTAAGATTTTTAAAACGCGTATGCTAGGGAGATGTTTCTACACCTTATAAAGGGTGTTTCGTTCTTCTCCCCAACCGATATGGGATTAATCCACTCCGCTAGGGACCAGCGTCCTCGCTGGCATATCGCCTCATGTCTATCCTCTTTGGGGCTTAGCCTACTTGCTGGCATATCGTCTAGTATCTGGCTTTGATACCATTTGTAATACTCAAGCCCACCACTAGTAGATATTGTTCTCTTTGAGCTTTCCCTTTCGTACTTCCCCTCAAGGTTTTTAAAATGCGTTTGCTAGGGAGAGATTTCCACACCTTATAAAGGGTGTTTTGTTCTCCTCCCAACCGAGGTGAGATTTTACAATCCTTCTCTCTTCGGGGTCTAGCGTCCTCGTTAGCACATCGCCTCATGTCCATTCTCTTTAGGACTTAGCCTACCTGCTGGTACATCTCCTAGTGTCTAGCTCTGATATCATTTGTAATGGCTCAAGCCCACCACTAGAAAATATTGTTCTCTTTGAGCTTTTCCTTTCCACATCTTTGTAAAGGGCGTTTTGTTGTCCTCCCCAACCGATGTAGGATCTTACAAATTGAACCTTTGAGATTGGCTAATGATTTTAGGTTGACTTGGTCGGTGGCTACTACGACGCGGGTGACAACGTAAAGTTCAACTTCCCAATGGCATTCTCCACCACCATGCTTTCATGGAGCGTTTTGGAGTTCGGAAAAGACATGGGTCCCGACCTTCCCTACGCCATCGACTCAATCCGATGGGCCACCGAGTACTTACTCAAGGCCACGAGCGTGCCTGGCTTTGTCTTCGCTCAAGTTGGCGATCCTTACGCCGATCATGTCTGCTGGGAACGTCCTGAAGATATGGATACACCGAGAACCCCTTACGCCGTTAGCAAGAAGTTCCCCGGCTCCGAGGTCTCCGCTGAGATTGCTGCTGCTCTCGCTGCCTCCTCCATCGTATTCAAGGCTCTCGATAGAGGGTATTTTGCTCGGCTTCTTAAAAGAGCTCGAATGGTAAGAATTTACCCAAAACCAAATAGTTATTAAATGAGACGGGGTGTGTTTATTTTTGTTTAGGTTTTCGAGTTTGCAGATACTTATCGAGGGTCTTACAACGAGAGCGTCGGGGCATGGGTTTGCCCATTTTATTGCAGCTATAGTGGCTATGAGGTAAGGAAAAGGAGGATTTTTCTTAGATTTGATATCATTTAGAACCAAAAGTGATGAACAGATGGGTGTAGGATGAACTTATGTGGGGAGCTGCATGGTTGTTCAAGGCAACAAAGGCTGCAAATTACTGGAATTATATCACTAAAAATGGTATTCAATCTTATTCCGATGGTAGCTTTGCTGAGTTTGGATGGGACACCAAACATGCAGGGATTAATGTCCTTATTTCCAAGGTGGGTATTTTCTTTTCTTTATAATATTCCGTTCACCGTTCTCGTTCGTATTTTCGAGTCGATTTTCGTTTCTAGTAATACAAAGAACGGTTCATAAGGTTTTTGGACGATTAGGGAGGACGAGATGTAGCTATCAAGAAGGTTGTGGAATTCTCATTTGAGTGTCTTCCTACAAGTTCGATTGAGTATAGTAAGAGACCAAAAAGAGAAAGAATTTTTTTTTAATGTTCCAATGGGTCGTTTGAGAAACTGTAAATGTCGGCATTGGTAGCCCTATTGAAAATTGTTCGAAAATAGCTTGGGAGTGAAACCACTCTGCAGGTCAATTTCATGGCGGGTTTGGGACGTAAGGTGTCGTGAACATGGCTATAAGTTTATTTTTAGTGAAGAAAACTACTTTGAAGTGTTTCGGGCACTCTATTCAAGGTGTATGAAACATTAGGTACTGTCCATCTTTTTTTACCGTTTTATGAGAAATGCTCGTATTTTTTAAAATTGACCTGCATACGAAAGTGTTTCTTTTTGTAATTTAAGGACCAAATAGAAATTAACGAACCGAGATTAAAAATATATTTTTTTCGATAAAATGTTCGAATATATATATATATATATATATTTTTTTTTTTTTTTTGCTAATATAATTCATAAATAAAATAATCTCAATTTAACCAAATTTTTATTATTGCAGTTTATGATGAGCGGAAATAATTATTCCAACTTTATTAATTATGCTGATAAGTTCGTATGCTCAGTTCTGCCTGAATCCCCCTCTGTATCAGTCTCTTACTCACCAGGTAATTAATTATTTTATTATTATTATTATCTTTTATTATTTTTATTTTAATTCATATTTTTCCATCAAATATTGAAAATTACTTTTTAAATATAAACATTTTAGTCCCTTTATTTTAGTTGAAATGACGATTTAGTCCTTAAACGTAAATTTATAACGATTCAATCCCTAATCTTAATACGGTATGAATTAGGTGGTCTTCTATTCAAACCGGGAGGAAGTAATATGCAACATTCAACCGCCTTATCTTTTCTTCTTCTTCTTTATTCTCGTTACTTGAATCAATCCAAACGCCTCCTTCACTGTGGACACGTTGTTGCATCTTCGTCTCGCCTCGTTCAAGTTGCCAAGGGTCAGGTACGACAAGCTTAGCAACTCGGTTTATTATTTAGTTAAATTACAAGTTTAGTCTCGAACTTCCAAACATAGGGTATACATATCATCAAATCATTGTTTATTTGGTCATGAACTTACTTTCATTTTGTGTCATCTAATAAGTTCCTAAACTTCAAAAACTGTCGTGTCTTATAGGTTCTTGATCTGTTTATAAACTTGAAAATGATTTTATAAAAATTTCAGATATATTATAAACAAATTTGTCATAAATTTTAAAGTTAGTGGATCTATTAAACATTTTCTAAAAAATAGATCTAATAAACAGAAAATTAAAAATTCGTGGATCTATTAAACACTTTTCCACGTCGGTGGAGAGGGAAATGAAGCATTTCTTACAAGGGTGTGGAAACCTCTCCAAAAACTATGAGGCTAACTACGATATGTAACGGGCCAAACGAACAATATCTACTAGCAGTGAGTTTGAGATGTTACAAATGGTATCAGAGTCAGTCACCAAACAGTGCAAGACACTAGTTGGAGTAGGAGTAATCCCTTACCAGAATAAACGTGTTTTAAAAACTGTGGGACTAATAACGATACGTAACAGACCAAAGCAGACAATATCTGCTAGCGAAAAACATTAGACATTTCATCTTCTGAAACCAACACTTTTGATGTTATTTGACGTACAATAATTTTGATATGTCTATTATGGATCTCCTCCCCTAGGATCGATAAACCTTTTGGATCTTATTAACCAAAGAGATATGACTTTGCACTATAGTTAGTTCAGCACCAATCGAAAATTCCCAAGGAATTCCAAGAATTCTTGTTATATGCTCGTTCCAACCGTCAATTCACTTAACTGTTACAAATAGTATTAGAGCTAGACATCGGGAAGTGTGCTAGTGAGGACGCTGAGCTCAAAGAATTTTACAAAGAGACGTAAATTTGAAATTTCAGAGACTAAACTAACCGAACGTATGAATGTAGGTGGATTATATACTAGGAAGCAACCCATTGGGCATGTCATATATGGTGGGATATGGCAGCAAGTTCCCACAACGGATCCACCACCGTGCCTCGTCGTTGCCATCCATGGCGGACCATCCACAGCGCATTGCATGCTCAAAAGGGCATCCATATTTTGAGAGCAACAATCCAAACCCTAATTTGCTCATCGGAGCTGTCGTCGGAGGGCCTGATATCAAAGATTCTTACGCAGATTCTCGAGTTGATTTTGTGCATTCAGAGCCAACTACTTATATTAATGCTCCTCTTGTTGGCCTCTTGGCTTACTTCAAATCTCATCCTTCATAGAACTTGGCCTCACCCCTTTTGTTAGGCTTCAAACAATTGCTCCAAATCATTGTAAATCCTTATATCTCTTTGTTCTATTCTTATAACATTGGAAATTGTTCATATGCCACCCGACCATATTCATATAGTGAAGAATCATAAGACCGAATACTCGGGATGCCTTTGCCCGTAAGAAACCATCAAGCCTCCCATTAATAGCAATGGAACTCTGTGCTAAGTTTCGTCTCATAATATGAGTTACTACCCCTCGATCATTTACACTATCCCAATGGAATATTACCCTTGGAATTGACCTGTACTTGACATGTATCCTCTCTTCTCGGTCCATTACAAGGAAAATTAAAATCAGTGTTTAGTTTATCGAGTATTAAATGCGAGCTATCAAAAAAATAGAAGACCTGGAATATGGGTTTAACGTCTTTGGGCTTAATACTTCTTTCCACTCACAATAATTTTTATAGACCTAAAAATTTGTAAGATAGGGACCAAAAACAAAATCAAGTTAGCAAGTATAACAATTCCAAATCAAAATTCAAGTGAAATACGGAGAGATACCTTAAGAACTATTGAGGTTGTCATAGTTTATCAAGATTGCTCTTATTCAAATATGGTATCGATTCATTCATATATTCTTCTTTATTCGTGTGTCACATTTGTGAACCATACATATATACCATTGAAATCCATCAAGTTGACTTTAAGTCTATCTACAAAATTTGTCAAGCCGTCCCGAGATGTTTTTATTTAATCTCCCATTATTTTCAAACATTATCCTAAAACGTGGGACATCCATTTAATGTTTGATATGAATGTAACAACTACCATGTATATGGAGGGTCGCCGAGTTCATTTTTTTATTATTTAAAAAATCATACTAATTCACAATACACTAACATCTGTTACAAACACTAGATATTATTCGTTTTCATGACAATCTCTACCGTTTGGTCAAGTCAATTCGAGTGCAAGCTCAAACAAATGAATTATTTATTTGACAACGTTTAATTATCTAAAATGAAATAATATAATAAATTTTTTAGAAAATTAATATTTCTTATATTAATTATTTAATTCGTCGTAATAAATAAAATCTTGAAGTAAATAACCATTTTAATTTTAAGAGAAATAAATACAAATTTTCAAAATTGGCGGTGAATGGATAAGGAATTGTACCAAGCGCGTTACCCTATTTTATTTAACGTTGAAATTTCTTCTTATTCGTTTAATAAAATATGAAAAATCTCGTCTAGAAGAAACAAGACGTGAAGCATTATTATATTGACTTACAAAATATTAAAATTATTTTTTTATTTTTTTTCCAATATAATTCGGATATTACTTAGACCCTATTGGTCAAGGATCTTATATTTTAATTTTTTTCGAATTTGTTCTAATTTTAATCTATATATTTTTAAATATTTAAATCTATTGAAAATCTATTTATTTATTTTTTCTTCCAGAGAACTATTATTGTTATTTTACGTAAATTAATTAATTTAAATTAGACTAAAATGGAGTAAATTTACTTTTATTTTCTTTATTTAAATTTATTTTTCATGGATATTTATTTATTTTACTATTCTAAATTCAACAAAATAATAATAATAATAAAATAAGAAAAATAAACAAAATAATCTAAAAAATATTTTTCCAAAATTCAACCTCCTATGTACTATGTACACACATGGATACTCCCTCTATAAAACCAAGCTTGAGGCTCTCCTTCTTCACAAAGAGAAATGGCTTTCTCCGAAGCTTTAGCCTATATTCTGGTCGCCACCGCCCTGATCGCGGCTGGACCGACAACGGCGCAGCTGAGCCCGACGTTCTACGACGCGAGATGCCCGAACTTGTCCTCCATTGTGGAAGATGTCGTGAGACAAGCTCTCCTAACTGATGCCCGCGCAGGCGCCAAACTCATTCGCTTCCATTTCCACGACTGTTTTGTTAATGTAAAGAATTATCTCTTTCTCTCGCAATCGTTCACTTTTAAATTTAAGGTTAAGCTAATAGATTACGATATGTTCAGGGATGTGATGGGTCAGTTCTACTAACAGATTCCGTTGAAGACAACATCGATAGTGAACAAAATGCAGCGGGAAACCAAGGGATACAAGGCGAAAATATCGTCAACGATATCAAAACAGCTGTTGAAAATGCATGCCCAAATCTCGTCTCATGTGCTGACATCTTAGCTATTGCATCGAATTCAGCTGTCGTTTTGGTAAAGACATTATTTATCGCATCGATTCACCTCTAGTTGTGACGTGCTCGATATTTACGATCAATCATTTGTGTTCGTACTTCGTTTATGGAATGTGTTTTGCAGGCTGGAGGAAGAGGCTGGGAGGTTCAGCTGGGAAGAAGAGACAGTAGAGAAGCAAATAGATCTGGAGCTGTAAGCAACCTTCCCAGTCCTTTTGAACCTCTTGCAAATCTCACCGTCAAATTCGCTAACGTCGGTCTCAATTCCACCGACCTCGTTGCTTTATCGGGTACGTCGGAGACATAAGCTCGTGTTTTATTTAATATGACTGTCACATCCTATGTTCTTATAAACTCTTCGGGATATATTTAAATCATAGTCTTTATTTCAATCCCATGGACCTATTTTCAATATTTTTTTAGTATATGCTTTTATTGAATTTAGAGGTTTGAAAATTCAAACTATTAGATTTTTTTTAATTTTGACGATTACATAATGTCTTTTTTGATAGACCCCTCTTTTATTTCGGAAGTGATTTTTATTTAATATATGGGTTGGAGGTGGGAATAAAGCATTCGTTAGAAAGGTGTGGAAACCTCTCTCTAACAGACACGTTTTAAAGCCGTAAGATAGACGCGATACGTAACAAGTTAAAGTGGACAACATCCAATAGCTATGAGGTTGAACTATTACAAATGATATCAGAGCTAGACACTGAAGAGTGTGTCAAGGAGGACGAATTGTGAGATCCCACGTCGGTTGGAGAGAGAAACAAAACATTGGTGCGAAAACTTTTATCTAATAGATGTGTTTTAAAATCATGCCTCTTACTAAGATAAGTAGAGGACCAAAGCGGACAATACTTCCGGTGAGCTTGGATTTAGTTTTTTAATAACCTGAATTAAAAGTTCAAATCTTTATATCTCGTAGGTGCGCACACGTTTGGGCGTTCGAGGTGCATATTCTTCAGCAGGCGATTAACCAACTTTAGCGGATCGGGGCTTCCCGATCCGACTCTAGAGCCAGCCTACCGGGAGACCCTGATCGAGGCATGTCCTGCAGGCGGCGACAACAACCGGATCAACCTGGATCCGACGACTCCAGACGAATTCGACAAGAACTATTTCACGAATCTCCAAGCCAACCGGGGGCTTCTCACCAGCGACCAGGTGCTGTTCTCCACCGACGGCGCCGACACCATCGAGATTGTGAACCGGTTTGCGGCCAGCCAAGAAGCGTTCTTTGATGGGTTTGGAGCGTCCATGATCAAGATGGGGAATATTCGCCCGTTGACTGGAACTGATGGGGAGATTCGTTTGACTTGTACTCGGGTCAATCCTTTGCCTGCTGTGGCAGATATGTAAATTTCTTTACTTTTTTGTGTGTTTTGTTTTGTTTGTTCGGGGATTTTAATGAAATAATTGGTGTTTGTTTTGTGAATGTGCGAGAGTGTCTTCTCAGCTCGTGTTTATTGTAACTAATAATATGATATGGGTTGTGAATCCTTTTCTTTTCATTTTAATTACATTTTTGAGTTATGATGTTACGTGTTTCGACCTAATTGTAGCTCAACTAATCTATAATACTTTCGATTAAAAAGTTGAAAGTTTGAATCTTTCGTCTTTAATATCAGTTGAGATGAAGTATGTATTCTTGATCAAGAGGTCGGAGGTTCAAATCTTCCATCTCGAACACAGTTGAATTTAAAAATAACTCAACTGACATGAAGTATGTACTCTCGATTAAGAGGTTGGAAGTTCGAATCTCTCACATTCAATACCATTGATCAACAAAAGAAAACAAGATTAACGGACATAAAACATGTACTCTCAATCAAGAGGTCAAATGTTTGAATCTCTCCCTTTCAGATACAATATGTTAAAGTTACTTTCAAACTAAATCAAAATCAAGAGGTCAAATGTTTGAATCTCTCTTTCAAACACAATATATTAAGTTACTCTCAAACCCTTTTAAAATGTAGTCGAACTAAATCAAGTTTATTAAATATATTTGACCAAAGTTTTTATTTATTTATTTATTTTTTTTTATTTTTATTTATTTATTTATTTTATTTTTGTTGTAACACTTTAACAAAGGCAGGTGGATCAACTTTTTATAAGATTTTTAAGACTAATATGATGTAACAAAATATAAATTTTAAAAATATTATTTATTAATTAAAACAATTATTTTAAAATTTTAATAAGGGGAATTTTGGTAATTATGAATAATAATAGTGGTAATATTTGTTTAATTTTTATCCTAATATAATATTAAACAATTAGTATAATATATATAATTTTTAGTTGAATAATATGTATAATAAGCATCTCTAATTTAAGTTATGTGTATAAAATGCACAAAAAGGTTATGGTTGAAAATTCAATTAGTTAGGTATACAATTTATTATCATAATAAAGTAGCAAAGATTCATAATTAACCAAAGACTATACATACATTAAATTGCTTGACCTTTTATTTTTTTGAATTGAATAATAATTATTCTAATATATTTTAAAATTGAATTAAATTATATGGTATATACAAATTAATTATTTTCATAATTTAGATGCTTTCTTGAAATTATTCTAATATATTTTAAAATTGAATTATATTTTCATAATATATAGCCATAATCCCTCGGGCTCCACATATGTTAAATTAGTTTGATCCTATTCTCCAACGAGACAGATAAGAGGGAGGTGACCAGACCTATTATATCAAAAGGGTTGTTGAAAGAGAATTCGACTACCCATTTTATTCAATGTTACAAGGGGATCTCCAATTCAACCGACTTTTGGATAATAAGAAGGTAAGTTGATCCCCTTTGATCTAGGAAAAAGGCCAGTAAACCACCAACTTGGTGCAAGTCAAGTGACTACTGCTCGACCTTTGCTTTTTGAGGCTAACTCTACTCACATCTCTACGTGCCCGCAACACTTCCATATGGAGAAAATAGGCTTATCATGTTTCTTCAATATCACCTAACCTGTGCCGATTTTGGCGGACCATGCTCCACCCTAGTGAACTTATGCAGTTCTGACTTACCTAGACTTTTATTGTTTCTAGGAGTCGATTATCATATTGGTGATTATTTGGGTGGGAATTGGATTCTCAAAATAAAATATAAAAAAATCATTTTATTTGCTAATTTTAGTTAGCACCTTCGAGAATATTTTAATATTTTTATACCTTGGATTTGGGCCGAATGCTTGTGCCATTTTTACAAATTATTAAGATATTGGGGAATGAGATGAGAATTGTAGAATTACTTGGGGAGGAAAACGAATATTTGAAACTATTTACGTTAATAGTTATTTTGGGGGCAAATAAGAATATATGAAATCGTTTATTTCACGACTAATTCTCTCTTGCGCCACCGTCGTTACTGCCGTTGACAGAGGAGAGGATGGAGGCTCTGATGGCTTCTTATGGCGGAAGCTCGTCGGATGAAGATGCGGATACAGTTTCCCCTTCATCAGCGTCAGCATCAGCATCAGCATCAGCATCGGCTTCACTTCCTCAGCTTTCCGATGAGACTGAGAGCTTTTTACCTCTGCCTCCGCCGCCTCTTTCGCTTCTCGATTTTCCAAATTCCACCTGTAAAGCTCTTCTTCCTCCTTACATTTGCATTCTTCAGTTTTTACTATGTAGTTTTGCTCATCAGCTCTTTCACTATTTCTCGCTCAGCCGCTTTGGATGATTTACCAATCGGTCAGGCGGCTAGGGTTCGAAGCTTCCCTCACGTTCAAGGAAACTATGCCGTACACCTCTATATCCCAGGTGATTCCAGTATATCATCTTTCTATTGTATTCTTGATTTTTGGCGTCCTGTTCGGTGGAAGCTTAGCTACGATTCTATTTATAGGGAACTCTTCTTTGGTTGATAATCAATTCATTATTAACTAGTAGATTGTTAGACTATAGATCGGAATCAATGTGTAACAATTATTTGTGTTGAAATATATGTTGATTTCATTTTGGTTTCTGCCTCTCAACCCTTCCTTGTGCAATCTTTAAACTTCATTCCCATAGCTTGCTATATTACCTCAAACATGAGTAGTAATGCTTATCACTTGCATGCATTTCAGTACGTCTGTTATTTTTCTTTTCATTGTTCTTGTGGAATTTTGGAATGTCATGATGGAACCAACTAAGAAAATCAATAATATCTATGATAATGTTTCAACAATACCTACAAATGTCAGATAATGGCAAATTTTTACTGTTAGGTTTTTAAATCTTGAATTAAAACTTTCTCTACGCTGCTTTCGTCAATAGCAACATTTTCACAAAATTTTGTGATCAATGTATCCTCAATCCTCTAAATGTTCATGTTTGATGAGGAAAAGCAGCTAAAGTATATGCCTTGTTTAAAAATAAATATAAACATGTTTTTTGGCATAAGTTTGTAGATTCCTTTTTAGTTTATTGATTCATAATCAAAACATTAAAAGAGATTCTAAACATCTACGGATTAAACACTCTCAAATGCATAGATCTAAATGATTGTTGCGATTTCTCATTTGTTGTGTGTTATACAACGATTTTTCATGTTCTCAGTGTATATACCAACTAATGCAAGGAAGGAGGTGGCCTTGTTTCTGAAGAAACTTTCCAAACTTGTGCCTGCTCTCCATCTTGTTGATATTGACATTCCCTTAGACATTTTATGTAAAGATGACCTCAAGCTTGAGCAAGCATTGGCCAGAGAATTTCACATAAGTTTGTCAAGAACAGTGCCAATCCGAGTACACCAGATTGACTCAATAGTGACAATGCTTCGCCAGAAGCTTCAGTCTCAAAGGCGGTAAGTTAAAAACTCGCCATTTAGTTTGATTCGTACTTTTCAATTTGTTTTTATATTCTACTTATGTCTTTTTTTTCCCCCCTTTAAACAGTTATTGGATTGATTTTAGTAAGTGGGAGACTTTTGTTAACGATGATCTCTCCCGAACCTTTTTGTCAATGGAAATTATTGCTGGAGGGCTAATGGAGGTGCGTCAGATTTGATGAATTCCCGTTTCCATTTTCTTTGCATTTTTTTGGCGTAAAAGTATTTTTCTTCATTCTCAATTTTTGGAGCAATCATATGGGAGCTTCCACTTCTGCTAAAGTTGCTTTTCCCCTTATATTAGTTTCTATTAGATTACCTAGTACGACTAGTCCAAAAACTCAACAAAATGGTTAGATTATAGTTAACTCTTTACCTCGCTTGCGGTTTTGATTTATGAGGCTGAGGCATGGACTGAAAGTTTTGAGTTAGAATATAAGACAATGAACTTTATGTAGAATCTTGTAGGATGAGACAGTTGTTGAATGGAATTTTTTTTTGAAGTTTTCCTAAATTAGATTAAGGCCAACATTATCAAATCCATACACACATATATACATGAACGTATATGTGTTTTGCATTCATGTTATCTAGACAATGAAATATTGGAAAATTAGGATTAAGTTGCCAACACCTCAAGCGAGAATAATTTGTTAAACTCTTATGGTTCTGTTATTTTCTTGACACTCTCTCATATGATGTTTTGAAATTAAGACTTGTTTATAATTGTAGCTCAAGAACAAACTTGTTTTTCAGGCCATTTTCGTTTAAGATCTTTTGACATAGGTTATGATGATTTCCTGAGTCTTACATGGTTGAGATTGATAATATTGCATGAAGAAAGTGTGATTCCTTTGTTTTCAATTGGTTACAGATCAGAAAACGTATCCAAGTTGTTAATGAGGTTTATAAGCTCCACAATCTTCCTGAATTTTACAAGGTTAGTTGCATTAATCTTTTTTCCTTTCGATCTTTATCCATCTTATATTGAAGAAGATGGAACTTCTGGACTCTATTTTGTAGGAAGCAAGACCACATATATCTCTTGCATGGGCATTAGGTGACCTTAGTAAATTATTGAGTCAATCAGTTCATGATGAAATGAAAAAGTCCATGGTTAAGGAAAAATCAAAGAGATGTATTTTCACCGCCAAATTCAATGGCATTGAATGTAAGATTGGTAAAAAAATGTTTAAAATATGTAAATTTCCTGATGAATAAGATGATATTCGTGAATTTGTAGAAGTATCCTATTGCTACTTTTATCATCTTTTATGATCTTTATTTGTGAAAGCTTCATTTCTAGGATTTTTAGGTTGTATGCAGACTAAATTTGATATGAATCTGTAGAATGGTTATTTTTAGTAGTATCTTAGGCATAATTATCTTAGGCTAGGCTATATGCCTCGTCAACAACCCCTACCTTTCTCGTACAAAGAGTGCATTGTTGTCACTGATTGACATAGAAGTTTCGTAGAAAGACACTATGATAATCACTCAAGTGTATTCAAAATTATGACCATCCTTTTTTTGCAATAATGTGTCGCGTGTCAGTATGGCACGGGCACAACGATGACCATCCTTTCTTTGCAATTATGCGTCACACCTACGTAGACATTTTCAGCTCCAACGCTTCATCAAGGCAAGAACCTCAAGTATAGGTACTATTT